CCTCCATGCACCCGCCACTTAGCCGAGGAAGCAAACCATTGCAGAGCCCGTCCTTAGCCCACCCATCGCCAGGGAGAGGAGGGAAGGCTGCCTGAGGGAGGGAGGGAGGGAGGCGCCCTAGAACTCGGCTCACCCTGTGGTGCCAGTGCCATCCTGCAGGACAAGGACCAGCGCCGGGAGTGGCATCTCCAGGGCAGAGGGGCTGGCGGGCGGGTACGTCCTGGATTCAATGTGGCCTGCTCTTTGCGTTCCAGGTTTTCGGTGTAGAAAATGGTTAAAACTCAGCCCGCTGCCACCGCATTCCTGGAAGGCCCCGGGATTTCACACCGTCTGTTCCTGAGGGGCGGCTGCCACACCTGTGCCGGGACAGGAGTGTTTGGAGTCGGGGTAACATGAGCAGCAGACTGACAGATGGGTGTAAATATTGTCCCTGGACGCCCACCTTCCTGCACACCCACCTTCCAGAAGGAGGTGTTTGCCGTCTTTTCTGGCCGGGGTGCATCCGGGCACTGTGTGAGCCCACGTGCCCGCTGTCCACCCCTTCGGGGATGCCCCAGCAGGCAGCTCCCGGAGCGGTGATTCTGTGGCCACGTCTCTGAGGAGCCGCCATACTGCTCCCCAGTAAACGCTTTGTTGTTTGTAAAACGTAAGCCTCCTTTCTCCCGCCCCTCCGCCAGCCTCCCGGCCATCTCCGCCAAACCTCCTGGTGGGCTGGTGCACACCACGGCGGCCTCTGCCTCCTGCAACCACTGAGCAGGCACCCAGGCCTCAGACCGGACTCCTGGCCTCCCTGGCCTCTGTGCCTGCACCCTTCCCTCCTCTCCACTCGCCCCCTGGGCCCCTGCGCCCAGCTCCCCCCACCCCTGCTCTCCGTGCTCCACACGGCTGTCTGCAGGCGACACGGCGACACAGGAGGCACTGCAGCCAGTGTGGCACCTCTCCCCGTCCTTTCTAGCTGCCCCGCCTGCCATTCCCCCAACTCAGTCCGAGCTCTGGGCTCCCCACCAGCCCGGCCTTCCGCGTGCACTTGGCGTCAGTGACCAGCAGGGACCAGGGCCTCCGGCTGCGGACACGGTGCCGGACACACAGGCCTCTCGCTCTGCCTGCGCCTTGCTGCTTCCGTCTGTTCGCTTTAAAGTTGTTGCTAATTCATGTATCCGGCGGGCTGCTGCCTCCACATGCCTGCCCCTTCCTCACTCTGCCCGTCTCCCGTGGCCAGGGGTCTGCAAAGGCCCCGCCCGCCCCGGGCATGGACGCGCGCAGACAGCCCTGGACTGACACCCAGCAGCCGCTTCCCTTGGAGAAAGGGGTGCACGTTCTGAAACGCAAGTTACTGCCAAGTGCCCCCTCAGGAGCTGGTGGGCCGAGCCCTGCCTAGAGGAGAGGTGGCAGCACACTCACTCTCCGTTCTGCCCAAGTCCAGCAGCAGCCGAATGGGAAGCCGGTGCTGAGGGGGCTGCAGGTGGGCAGGGGGAAGGGGGGGTGGGCTTGGGAAAAGGAGGGAGGAGGGGCAGAGGGCACGTCTGTCTCAGCTCCTCAGGGTCACGGCCACCCCTCCCAGCTGTGTAAACCTGCTGGGCATTAGCATATCAAACACCCACCAAAGCCTCCTTAAAAAGCGCCCCAGCTGGTGGCCACAGCAACAGCCAGCGGAGCCGCTTCTAAAGGCACAAGCTCAGCGATGGGCAGCCCTGGTGCCGCCTGCGGAGCGCGGGCCGGCCCTTCTCCAGGCACCAGCTCAGGAGCCCCCCTCCCAGGTGGACAGCCAAGGAAAGTGACAGCACATGTCCTCACACAGGTGTGTCACACGTTCATAGCAGCCCGTCCATCCATCCCCCAGGCGCCCTCAGGGTCACTGCCATGGCCGTCCCAGTGCTCCTTCCCCATGAGCGACAACAGAGGGCCGGTCTTGGGCGTTTGGCCAGGAAGGGTACCGTGCGTACCCAGGCCTCGCTGCCACCACGGCCACACTCGGACCACGTGCTCCGGACCCTGGGGTTGGCCACTGGGGAGTGAGGGGGTGATAACACATTAACACACACACACACACACACACACACAGCCCTCGTCTCTGACAGCAGGCTGGGACTCCGTGCGCTATCTCTTAGATTAGCCGGCTATTTTTGCTCTGTCCTTGCTGGAGGAAAGGCGGCGTGGGCGGCAGGGCCCCAGGGAGATGGCCCCAGGGAGCCGTCATCAGCCCAGGCGAAAACAGAACCAACTTCACGCCCCTCTTCCTCAGAAGCATCTCCGAAGGGAGCACCTGCCAGTGCCGTCCGCAGGGCCGGGCTCCCCACTCTCACCCACACAGAGCAGCTGGCCTGGACCTGCTCGGGCTCACCTTGGGGAGCGGGAGGCGGCGTCAGGAAGAGGCTAGTGCCCTGGCTCCGTGGCTGAGCGTGGACCCGTGAACCAGGAGGTCACCCGGGTTGTGGGTTCGATCCCGGGTAGGGGGCAAGTAGAAGGCAGCTGGCCAATGATTTTCTCTCATCATTGATGTTTCTATCTCTATCTTCCTCTCTCTCTAAAATCAGTAAAAGCATTTAAAGAAAAAGGAGGAGGAGGAGGAGGAGGAGGAGGAGGCTGAGGATTGGCGGTTCCCATGGCCACTGCCTGGGTCCAGTTAATTCGGGAGAGGGCTTCACAGGAGTCAGCGCGCCAAGCCACTGGTTTAAGTGAGAGGACGCAGCTCAGGAAGAGCCCGATGAAGACGCCCGGGGCCGGGTACGGGAAGGGGGTGGCGCTCCCATGTCCCCCTCCCCCCCAGCACACCTGACTCTCCCGCACCTGCAGGTGTCACCAGCTCTCCGCACCTGCCTTTGGCTGGAGGCCTCCGCACAAAGGAACGGTGACTGACCCCATCTTCATCCTCTCCCTGCCCCGAGGCCGCAGGTGGGCCTGGAAGCTCCAGCCCTCCACCACAAGGTTGGCCTCTGCGGCCAGCCCGCCTCAGTGGCTGCAAAGCCCCATTAACACGGCACAGGCATGGTGGTCCCGCTCCTCACAGGACTACACGGTGTCAGGGGCTTTGGGCAGGAGCAGGACGAAGGCCGAATGTGTATTTCTTCTTATAAATCACAGTATCATAGATGCTTCCACTGCAAGCCTTTGCCTAACTGGTCCCTGTGTGACACCCCCTTTCCTTTAATGTGTGGGAGTGTGTGTGTGTGTCCCGCCCCCCCCCCCCCCCGCCCGTCTTTGCTCAAATCTTACCTCTTCAATGAGGCCGACTCTAACCACCCTACTAAACGGCCATGCCTACATTCCAGATCTCCACTAGCCTGCTGCACTTCCCCCAAACGCTTTATCTTCCCATCAGTAACTGATCCCCTGCCAGCCTGTAAGTCCCCCACAGTCAGCTCCAGGCCCAGGGAATCTGTCTGTGCGCTGTGTATCCTAGCACAGTGCCGGGCACAAAGTCGGTGCTGAGTAAATATCTGAATGAAAGCCCTCCTGACGGCTCTATACTTTTAATTCCTTGATTGTGAGCTAATTAAAATGCAGAATACAAGTGTGCCTTACTGTTTAACAGCGAAAATAGTCATGTATGAAATGTTCTCCAAAAACAAGATATATAAGTAAGCTTTGAACATTTGCTTTTAAAAAACAGACACTTGATTTATTTTAAGTCCATAAGAGCATTTCATAGGGACTGATGGGGTTAGTCCTACATTCTCCGAGACCATAGAGGGAATGTGAACAGTGCCCCCTCATGGCTGGAAGTGGAGGGGCTACTTCCTGATGGGTGGGTTGACTTACAACCCCAGTGGCTGATAGGAAGGAGTTGTAAGATAAATGTTATTGATGACAGTTCAAAATAGATCAAATTCAACATTATTTTCAGAAGGCAAGTAAAAGAGGAATAAAGTGTCAAAGGAAGAATGTGTAGGAGTACGGAACCCACACATTTCCATATTGTGAGGAGGATGTTGACAATTTGTGGGAAGCAGTGAAGGAAAATGTTAGGACAAGAAAATCCTGACTTGATAGCATCCATCTGCTGCTCTTACAGCTGGAATCTGAGTGGGACTCTCCATCTGTGCTTTACTCTCAGCTTCAGCTTAACATAACAAGACACATGTGTTTAAGGATGTCAGCGATGAAGTATAAATGCCTGCCACACTCTGACTCAACAGCCTGCAGTGCAGCCAAGCTCTGCTCGGTCCCGTGACCACCTGGCACTTCAGAGCCGAGGCCCTAACTGTGGCCCCGCTGCCTGACCACATCTAAACGGAAGCCCAGCTGCCCGGCCCGCCCCCCGCAGGCCCGGTGGCTCCCCCGGGCCCCTCGGCCCAGAGCTCCCCACCCGGGACTCCCGTTGCTGTCTCCTGGGAGCTGCACTCGCTCCTTTTTCCTCAAACAGCCGCTGCGAGCATCTATTGGGAGGATGGTTCCTCGTTACAAGTGGGGAAACTGAGGCTTAGTGGCATCAGGTCACTTGCCATGGCCAAGTGGTCCATTATTAAGAGCCAAGCTTCAAAGTCTGTGCTCCCCCCACTTGCCCCTCTGCCTCCAGGTTCCCCTCCGGGGGCCTCCGGGCTATAAATAGTGGGAGGCTGGGACGCGTGTGCGAGGTTAGCCAGGCCCGCCGTAGACACTGCAGACACTGACGTCTCAGCCGGCCTGGCCACGGCCCATCCCCTGGCACCCCAGGACTCGGGCCCAGACAGCCTCACTATCACCGCTTCACGCTCCTGGTTATATTTAGCTCCGGACCTCAAAGGGAAAGGTGGGCCAGCCCTGCCACACGGCGCCCTGGCCAGGCGGGCTGCTGGCATAGAAAGAGGCTGTCTCCTCTCCCTCTGGGAGGGGCCGCGGCTGCTGGTCACTGTATCTGTGACAGTCAGCCTGTCTACAACAGGCGTGTGCCTGGGGCTCCAGGCTGCTTTGTTGCAAGAACAAATAAATGACCGAAGTCCATGTCTTAGAAACCTGGGCACCAAAAACAGGCACACCAGTTCCCGGGGGAGGTCTTGTAAAGCCAATGCATTCACTCTATCCAGTACAGTCCAGTTTATTCAGGAATGGACCCAAGTCGTCATCCGCCCACCCCCGTTTCTCTTCGCCGCCCCCTGATCGGGCTTGAAGGCAACAGCAGGAGAGAGAGAGGGAGAGAGGAACCTCAGACCCCAGAGGGTGGCTCCGAGTGCCCCACGTAGCAGCCACCCAGTGTGGTGGCTCTGGGATCCCGTGCCTGTAGGATCCCCGTGCCTGTAGGATCCCCATGCCTGTAGGATCCCCGTGCCTGTAGGATCCCCGTGCCTGTAGGCACCTGGCACAGCCTCCAGCTGCCTGCAAAACCCAGAGCAGAGCGTCTCCATCCGCCTGCGCAGCACCTGGACCCCGGGGGCTGGGTCGGCTGGCAGCGGGGCCAGAGCTCAGGAGCCCGGCTGGGTCCTGACCCGGAGCTTGAAGGGCAGCTGCTGGCAGTTCTGGGCTCTCACAGAAATGGGAAGAGCCGCTTTTTGACAATGTAGAGAACCGTAGCCAGGAAAAGGGCCAGGGCCAGGAAGATCAGCAGCTTGTCCGTCAGCTCCCGGCGGTTGTACTTTGTGATGAGCTTCCGCCCCAGCTGGATGGTCCCCGACATGGACTTGAACTCTTCGTTGGCGTCCAGGATGGTCCGGGAAGAGTTGACTGAAACATAGAGGGAGGGAGCCTGACTCAGAGGCTGCAGAGCGGAGCCCGAAGCTGGCCCCGCAGGCGGGCTCCCGGCACACACTCTCTCTGCAGCAGGTTCCAGAGCAGGGACCGAGCAGACAGCCGGAGGGAGAGCGGGACAAAACCCCCCTGGGCCGCACCAGCTCAGAGAGCCGTCCTTTCCTACCTACAGCGCCCCGGCCCCAGCGGGGAGCCCAGTGGACACCCCAGGGAGAAGGGCAGAGAGCTTCCTGCAGCCGCCGGCCACAAAACCAAACCCGAGACTGGGGACAGGCCCCCGGAGGTCCGTATGGGACAGAGCTGGAGGGCCAGCCTTCAGCCTGTGGGGGCGCCCAGCCAGGACACCTGGCGGCCAGGCCGCTCTGTGGGGTCAGAGAGGCGGCGCTGGGCCCTGCAGCAGCCCTCACACAAGCAAGGCCTGGGGTCCCGGGCTGAGGCTGTACAGATGGGGCACCTGTGCCTGGACACTGAGTGACACCTACGAGGAGGCCCTGTCCCCTCAGGGTGGCTGTGCCCAGGAGTCCACTTGACCGCTGGGCCTGCCACTTGGGGAAGAAGGTCGCCAGGCAAGATCCCCCCACAAAGGAAAACAAAGCGTCACTGGAACAGCCACGGAATGCCACGTGCTGTCACGTGGACAGCGAGGCGTGAAAGAGGCGTGTGAGTTGGAAGAAAGAGGCGGGTGGATAACACTTCATATGCGACGCCATCCGTGTGGAGACGGCAGGATGACAGAAGAAACGGAACCGTGGGCATGGCAGGCAGTGTGGGCGGGAGGCAGCGGGAGGGGCCTGGGGCAGGGGCCGTGTCCCGGGAGCAGCTTCCCGCCAGCCCGGCGTTACCCAGCGTCTGCATGGCTTCCTCGCTCTGCTGCACCTGCTGGGACATCACCCTGCTGATCCCCATGAGGTTCTCGGTGATGGTGCTGGACGTCTGCGCCAGGTTCTCCTTGGCGGTTTTCCTAGGAGTCCAGAGGAGGAGGAGGGTCAGCAAAGGCCCGGCTGTGGGGAAGCCCGCAGGCAAAGGAGACCCATGCTTTACCCTCTCCGCGCAGACAGCCGGAGGGAGAACAGGACAAAACTCCCCTGGGCCGCACCAGCTCACAGAGCCGTCCTTTCCCACTACAGTGCCACAGGCCCAGGGGGAGCCCAGTGGACACCCCAGGGAGAAGGGCAGAGAGTCAGTGCCCAGGAGCATGCCGAGCTTCCTAAAGCGGCCAGCAGGGCGTCCGGTGCGCCCTCTGCAGCAGACATAGTACCTTTGCCTCAAGAGGTCTCCTCCCTGGAGCAGCTCTGCCTTCTCCAGGTTGTCGATGGCGATTTTGCAGGTGAGATTCGCTTTCCGCCACGACGTCTGATTGCTGGAATCAGAAGGGGCACGTGTGAGTTTCTGACAGTCCCAGTCAGAGCAGGTCCTCCCTCCGGCAGGGGGGGGGGGGGCGGACACGCAGGGGTGGCCCACGGAGTCCATCCCCCCTCCCGCCCTTCCTCCTCCTGTGGCCCCAGCTACTGCAGCAGCCCAGGCCCGGCACCTCTCGCCTGGACCCCGGCCGCCTCCGGATAGTCTCTTACTGCCCGCACTGCCCCTGTGCCCGGCAGCCCGAGAGAGCAGTCTGGTCCTGGCACAGCCATCTATGCAGCCCGTATGGCTCCAGACTTCAAGGTAACCTCTGACCCCAGCTGGGCACACAAGGCCCAGCTCTGCCCAGCTCTCCCCACACTTCACTGCGCTGCCTGCACGCGCTGGCTCTGCCCCGAGACCGTGCCTCACCATGTGTGCGTCACCAGCACCAAATTGACAGTTCTGGCCCAGCAGCTGTTCAGTGTACGTTGTAAGAAGTAGAAAAAGCATCAAAAGGCAGTTTTCCTCAACATTTCTCCAAGGTCTGATGTTCTTTACATATCACAGACAGATCGCGGAGGAACAAGCACAGGAGCCAGCAGGCTGGGGGGACATGATTTATTTCCATGTACCCGCTCTCTGGGAGGGAAACGATGTGCTGAGCGACGGCCGGAGTCAGCAGTCAGCCTTTGTGATCGGAAAAAGGCGAACTGGGTCCCCAGGACCAAGCGCATGCGCTCACGCCCACTGCACCCCCTGGAACACTTCACGGCACACAGAGTGTGAACTGACAGGCGGACCTCTACCGGCACCGAAGCTGAGTTTTCAGAAGAGTCCCCGGCGCCTGACCAGCGGCTGCTATGCCATTTCATGCCTAACATTTTACACAATCCGAGACCCTTCCAAACCGCTATTAGCAGGCAGCCTGTGGGACTGTGAGGCAAGATGAACGAGCACAGTGCCCGCCGAGGGGCTCACGCTTATGCGGAGGAAGACAAGCCCTCAGTTACTGGTCCGGGACAAGCACGGGCACCCAGCAGGCCCAGCGACTGCTCCCACACACCATCGCCAAAGCCTTCATCTCTGCTCGCTCCTCTGCCCTCGACTCCAAGCGTGAACGGCCGTTCCCAACTTCCAACCCACACTCGGGGACTGTCTGGCATCACTTGTTACACATCCTGACGATCCTCTCTAGACAGGATCTGTAGTCTAGTGCTCGTGGTGGCCCTGGGAAGCAAAGGGCATCCTGACACGAAGTATCACCGAGCCAACCACTTTAGCTCTGGTCACTGCTCACACCTCCCTCAGGCACACCCACGGCCTGCACCCCCACGGCCTGCACACCCACAGCCGGCTCAGCCGCCTCCTGATCTGAGTGTCACAAACAGCTGCTGTCGGCGGGGAGGATGCTGGAAGGCTCTCACACCAGAAGCAAAGCCACAGACAAACACGATGTGGCAGAGTTCGACCACCTACAAAGGATGAAAGGAACGCCTGGGGTGTGTGTGTGTGTGTGTGTGTGTGTGTGCAGCAGGGGCTTTCAAAGAGAAAGAACTGGCTCCCGTAGGGCTGGGATAGGTGATGGAGTCCTCCCGGAAGCTTCTATTTTATTTTTTAACATTTTATTTCAGAAAGGGGGAGGGAGACAGAAACATCAATGATGAGAGAATCATTGATCAGCTGCCTCCTGCACTTTCCCCACTGGGGATCGCAACCCAGGCCTGTGCCCTTGACCAGAATCGAGCCCAGGACCCTTCAGTCCACAGGCCAACATTCTATCCACTGAGCCAAACCGGCGAGGGCGCCCTCAAATACTTTCACAATAAAATCCCTCTTATTGTTATGGTACAAAAGTCAAAAGTGAAGGGAGAGGTACTGTTTCAGACAATTTTGTTGGAAAAGTCCCCCAATTCAATAGCAAGAATTAGTGCACACCTTCAATTACAGAATCCAGTCTTAGCACACAGTCACAATATAACACCAGAGGCCTGGTGCACAAATGTGTGCCCTGGTGGGGTCCAGTTGGCGCCCCCCCTCCCCCTATAGAAGATGACAGGGGGCAGAGCCAGCCAGGGCAAGGGGCCAAGGTTGTTCCAGTCATTCTGGTCATTCTGCCATTCGGTCACTGGGCTTTTCTTATGTAAGATGAGCTTATTTACATGTTCTTGTTTCCCTTTCAAAATTTTCTAAATTTTGGTCCATCTTAAATAGGTTCACTTACAGTGGAGCAATTCTCCTTAGATAAAAAGGGCCTAGATTACAATAGCAAATGTAATATTTTTTTGGTTTTGTTTTAAAAATATAAATACAAATGCAGTGTAACAAAGCAAATACGCACCAATATGCTTTTGTAAACTGTGCCCATCCCGCCTGCCCAGCAGCCCCTGCGCGCCCTCCCCTGTGAGAATTACTCACCCTGAGAGGACATGCAGTCCGTGTACAAACGACACAGTTAAGTCACCAACCTCAGGTGTCCGCGGCAAACCCAGGGAGGCTCCAGGGAGCACGAGACCAGCAGAGGCCACGGCGGGAGGCCAGGCCGCCTACCTGAGCATCTGCTTCTTGTGGTTCTCCACCTCCTGGAGCAGAACTTGCTTGTCCGACTCTCTGTCTTGTTCTTTAGCTGACTGCTCCAGCTCCTACGGGGGAAGCAGCTCTGTGTGAAACCCACTGCAAAGCCAACTGGAAAACCAGAGCGCACTTCCGGATTAGCCAGGCCGCCCACAGCACTGGGACCCTCCTCCTGCAGGGCACTTCGGAAGGCCAAACATCCTTAGACACAGAGCCAAGTCTATAAGGAAATAAGGACAGCCCTAGCTGGTCTGGCTCAGTGGATAGAGCATCAGCCTGTGGACGGAAGGGTCCCAGGTTCAATTCCAGTCAAGGGCACGTGCCCATTGTGGGCTGGATCCCCACAGGGGGCCTGCAGGAGGCAGCTGATCAATGATCCTCTCTCACCACTGATGTTTCTTTCTATCTCTCTCCCCTCTCCCTGCTTCTCTGAATTAAAATGTTTGTGTGTTTTTTAAAGAGAGAAAATAAGGACAATCCAAGACCCCAGAGTGAGGAGGAGACCGAACCAGTGCAGACAGCCCGTGAGCGGTGCAGGCTGCAGAGAGGACGATGTACGTCTGCCATGCAGCACGAAAACACTAACCAGGAACCTGACCCCACTTAGCCATCATGGGAACACCAAAACACGCCATTCTCAAAACTGCCCTGGGAAGTTCCCGTGGAAGACAGCACAGGGCAGACCGCTGTTTCCCCAGCTCCGGAGCAGACTGTCCTCTTGGGTTCAATTGTTGGCTGGCATCGGGGCCTCGCAATATGAAAACCATATGGCTTTACACCCAGCTCCACCTGCAGGCCATGCAGGTGCCCACCACCTTCTGAGAGGTGGGCGGCTCTCTGCCACCCGCACTGAAGGCACAGCGTGGAAACACCTCCGTTATCCAAACCGGCACTTCCCGCTGCGTGTTTTTGAGATGGCACATACACCGGAGTCGAATCCAGGAGCGTAATGGGCATATGCTGTGACTGTGATGACAAAACAGGGGGGAGGAGGCTGGGCAAAGCGGCAGTCTCAGACATCTCCCCAGGAGACACCGGTGCCGGACTGGGGGAACGGGTTGGAGAGTGGGAGAGGAAAGAAAGGAGTTCAAAGGACCACAGAGTTTTTAAGCTGAAAACTTCCAAGGACAAGGGCGTCCCTGCCACCGTCTCTCACAGCTGGCGGGCGCTGCGTCCCTAAGTTCCTAGCTGTGACCCGGTAACAGGTCAGTCCAGCTCCCTCACTGCACAGCTCTCAGGCAGAGGCCAGTCCTAGGACCGAGCCCCCCCCTCTCCTGCCCCCGTCCCTCAGCGCCTCAGGTCTGCCGCTCACCTGTATCCTGTGCCGGAGCTGCTGAAACTTCTCCTTCACTTTAGCATTCAGCTCAGTAAGTGCACTCAGTGGTCCCGAGCAATCCCGGATATCCTAGGAGACAGTGAGGAGACGAGGGCCCGTCTCAGGGCAGCGGGAGAATCTGACACCATCAGTACGAGGAGAGCTGGCTCACGCCACTGACCGTCACTCAGCCCGGTCTCTGCTGTCTACCTCTGCAACACAGGCTAACAGGTCATCCTTCACACTCTTCTCATCCCTCTTTAAGCTGCTTGTGAACAGGTAACATAAAAGCATAGAGAGAGACACAACTATGTCTTGACTTATTAGTTCCTAAAGTTTAACAAAACGCCACGTGGCAAGTATGAAAGCCTTAGAGCAGTTTGTGTATTCAGCGAAAATGTAAATCCAAGCAGATGTTTGTTTGTTTTTAACTCAATCTTTATTGTTCATATTATTACAAAGGTTCTTCATTTCTTCCCCCCTCCACCAGGTTCTCTCCCCACCCTCCGCCCCCTCCCCACCCCCCATTGTCCTCATCTATAGGTGCAGTTTATGTTCAGTCTCTTCCCGCATCCACCACTCCCCCTTTCCCCGAGAACAGTCAGTCCACTCCCCTCCCATATCGCTGACTCTACTACAATCAACAGCTAATATTGTTCATCAGGTTTTTCAATCTCCTTTTGTTGTTGTTGTTGTTGTTGTTTTTAATTAATAAACTTTTACACTTCTAAGAATAAATTTTAAAATCTAATAATTTTAAACCTTGTTTTTTTTCTGCTCTGGGAATTGAGAAGCAAACTTGTTTACATGTAAATTTGCCCTTAGGCTATCAAAAGGTGTAGATGCTACTATTTGTGTGTGTGTGTGTGTTTTTAAATTTCTCTATTGATTAAGGTATCACATATTTGTCCTCATCTCCCCATTCCCATCCCAAACCCCTCCCCACGCATGCCCCCACCCCTGTTGCCTTTGACCACTGGTTAAGCTCATATGGATGCAGATCCTACAAACTTCAGGTCTTTGGAAACGGGCACTGGATTCCTGACATCAGATGACAAGCTGAGCTTCAATGTGATTCTACAAACCCTCTATCAGAGAGCTCAGTGTTTATAGACAGACTAAGGACGGGTTTAGAATTCATCTTCCGGCAGTCAGGATTAGTGGAGCCAGGTTTTAGAGTGGGCCCTAGGGCCAGACCATGCGGATTCAGATTCTGGCTGTGTATTTATTAGCCGTGCAACCTCGAAAAGAAACAATCAGTCGAGTTCTGAGCCTCAGGTCTGTCCCTCATCATATTACCTGCCGCATAGACCATGTATGTGCAGAAGGCATTTAGCAGAGGAACTGAAGCACAGTAAGGATGCAATGATCCTAGCTCTATGATCACTCTTCTCATTAGATTTCAGAACTGGCCTGACAGTTTGTAGTTTACACTCGGAAGAAGGGAAGTGTAAATGTTTGCATTAAAATGTCCTCACTTGCTCTCTGGCTTAATCATTAAATCACACTTCCTGGCAACTCATTAGGTTTATTTTACACCTGGTTTGGGTGGGGTGGAGAGGGGATGGGGAGGGTTACTTTTCTTGACTTTTTGTCCCAGCTCTGAATCTACATCTCATGTTTAGGAACGCTTATTGGAAATGGAAACGATGTGCCCAAAACCCAGGTTTAAAACTCTTGGTTTCTGCCCTGACCAGTTTGGATCAGTGGATGGAGTGTCGGCCTGCGGACTGAAGGGTCCCAGGTTCGATTCCGGTCAAGGGCATGTACCTTGGTTGCGGGCACATCCCCAGTAGGAGGTGGGCAGGAGGCAGCTAATGGATATTTCTCTCTCATAGATGTTTCTAATGCTCTCTCTCTCTCCCTTCCTCTCTGTAAAAAAAACACACCAAAAAACCCCCCCAAAAAAACCTCTGGTTTCTTTTCTGCTGAACTTGAGGAACTGTTTTCACATTCCTACCTCTTGCCTATGCCAACTGGTTTATTGCACTATTTACCTTCCACCTTCAATGGCTTATATACTATTTATGGGACCTCGGTGCCCCAAATCCCTCCTCTAGGCTGACTCTCTGCTGGTGGCCCGGGTCCCAGCTCTGCCACCACCTGCCCTCAGACTCAGGCCGGAAATCACATCCCCGGTCCAGGTGACGTTCATTTCCCGGGCGCCCCCCATGGCCAGGCGGCCTCGGGCGCCCCGGGCCGGACCCAGGGGAGCTGGCCGGCAGGGGGCGGGGCAGGAGGCGGGGCCCCCGGGGTGACAGGTACCCGGTGCCGGGTTCCCGGCGCGGCTCCCTGCGGGGCCGCAAAGGCGAGGTGAGCAGAAGTCCCGACTTTTAACAATTTCGTCCCGCGGCGTTTTAAAACAGTCCCGACTTAAAGGAAAAAAAAGAAAAGAAAAAATCGGGACTGTTTTAAAGCGCCTCGGGACGCGGGACAAATTGTTCGGAATCGGGACTGTCCCGCCCAAAGCGGGGCGCCCGGTCACCTCACGCAAAGGGGAAGCCTGGGCAGGGGCGAGGGCCATGGGGCCCCGGAGGAGCCAAGCCAACGCCGCCCGGACGGTGGAAGGGTCAAGGGTTAGGGGCCCGAGGGGCCAGAGAGAAGCTGCCGCCACGGCGCGGGGCGGCGGCCGGAGAGGGAGGCCTGGCCGAGCCCGCGCTCAGGGCAGCTGGAGCCCGGCAGGGCCCCGGGAACCGGTACCTGGATCAGCGCCTTCACCTCCAGGTCGAATTTGACGATCTCTTGGTTACAGATCCGGACGTGGACATCTTGGGCGGCCGCCATGTTGGAGACGCCGGCTACGGGCAGCGGCGGGGGCCAAGTTCAAACGCGTTTCCGTGCCGCCCGCCCGGCCTTCGCCACAGCGCCCCCTGGAGGCCGGCCCTTGGCCAGCGAGGGTGGCGGCGCTGAGACCAGGGCGCTCCTCACACTCCTCACTCCACTCGCAGGGGGAGTTCAGCCTCGCCTTTCCGTGTGGCCCTAAGGAAAAACATAACAGAGAGGAAAGAAGAGGGAGCATCAAGAACACGTTCACGGTGGCCTCTCCCCATCGCCCGCAGACCAGCCATTCTAAGGATTACAGATCTCTCTCTCTCTCTCTCTCTCTCTCTCTCTCTCTCTCTCTCTCTCTCTCATAGAGAGGGAGTAAGAGAAAGACTGGAACAGTATCCATTGGGATGTCCCTGGAAGGTGGCATTGACAGTGTTTTCTATTTCTTTTTTTTTTCCTTTCATTCTTTCTTTTTTACAGAGAGTAAGGGAGAGAGATAGAGAGCTAGAAACGTCGATGAGAGAGAAACATCGACCAGTTGCCTCTTGCACACCCCCCACTGGGGATGTGCCCGCAACCAAGGTACATGCCCTTGACTGGAATCAAACCTGGGACCTTTCAGTCCGCAGAACGATGCTCTACCACTGAGCCAAACCGGTTTCGGCTGTTTTCTATTTATTTAAGCTTCCTCATATGTTGCATATTTGACAGTGAACCCACATCCCACCTCTGTGCCCCAGTGCCCTCAGAGGCCACCTGGTGGGATGAGAAGGGAGAAGCCCCCAGCACAGCCCCCAGCACAGCGTGGGAGAGTGGCCTCTGCTGAGCACAGGGCGCTGGCTGTGATCAGAGTTCACCGACGTTTGGAGCACTTCCTGGGGGGCAGGCTCTTTGTACCCTGTGCTGTCTGTGCACCATCGAACAACGCTCACGACAGCCCCGGGAGGTGTTATAGAATGATCCCGCTTTACACGCGAGGAAACGGGCACAGGCAAGGACGACTTGCCCAGCGCAGGCCAAGGACGTGGGCATGTAAAAATCCTGACCGTGGCCAACAAGCCGCTCTCCACAGAGGCCCTATCTGTGGGGCTTGGCACTCCCACAGCATGCCTGCTCCCACCGCCTGGGCAGCATGGTGTGTTCAACACTGGGATGTGTGCCCATCTGATTGAGCGGAAAACGCCATTTTTAAAACTTGCATTTCTCTGATCACAAATGCACGGCACGTATTTGTACTTGTACTCATTGTCTGCTCATTTCAATTCCCGGGAGCTCTTTATTTACTGAAGGGTTTAGCTCTTACCTATGGGCTTTTTTCTTAGTCTACAGAATTTTTAATTGGCTTAGTGCTTCTTAACCTTACACTGTTTTTTAATTTTTGTTTCACAGACATTATCACTCTTCTCTTATGACTCCTGGATTTGGGGTCCAAGTTAGAGAAGACCTTCCTCTCTACCCCTCTCAACAAGAATTGTTTCTATGCTTGCTCCATTTTTTTTTTTTTTTTTTTTTTACCCCCATCTGGATCTTTACCCACTTTGAAATGTATGGCAGCTTATTGGTATGAGGTCTGGAGCCTTGACTTTTTCCAGAGGGGTTTCCCAACACCGTTTTCTGAATAATCCATCTTTCCTCACTGGTTCGGGATGTCACATTTACACACTAACTTCTCAAGTTTGAATGTATTTCTAGTCTGTTGGCCTACCAAGTCATTCATGCAGCAAAATGACACTTTTAATAATTATAGTTTTGTGTGTCTTACTATCTGTTGGGGATTGGACACCAGCTGCTTTGCCCCGAGTAGCTCCCACCTGTAGTTTTTCCCATGTGAACTTGGGTTACAGTTTGTTTTTTTAACCCCATTGTTATGTCCTTACTGGGTCAGCATTCAATTTTTTATTTAATGCAGGAAGACAAGACAGCTTTGTGTTACTGAGCCCTATTCAAGAACTTGGGTCTATCTTTGCATTTGTACAAGTTTTCTGTGTCTTTCATAGTATTTTCAAGATTTCTTTGGACCTTGGACATTTTCTGTTAATTCCTGGCTGTTATCTTAAGATGAAAACTTTTTAAAGAGATGGAGGTTGACATTTTTTCAGGTCAAACGTTCTGGATCCTAAAACAGTCGCTCCCTATTTAGGACAGCGAAGAAGCCCGAAGTTGGCAAGCAGATCTGCCCGCGTGACCTTGGGCCCCTCTCACATCCTGCTTCTTGCTGGGAATTCCTATGCAATCGACAGTCTCCAATTGCCTTTCTCTGTAAGTAAGGAAAGCATAGCTCCCCTTTCCTCCACCCTTCCACACAACCCCTTCTGGCAAAGGGATCCAGGTCTAAGCCCGCCGGCTAGAAGCCTTCTTGGAGGCACAGGTCTGCGATCTGGGACCCTCAGTCCCAATGAAACTGCCAGCGCTGTTTTGTCTCCTCCATCTTTCCCCACCCATCCGGAGGCTAGCCTTTGGTTCCTCCAACTGCTACACTTGGGCTTTGGTTCTTCCTGGTTTCCAGATTCTAAGCCCTTTATTTCCCAACAGCGCCTGGTCCCTTAGAGATGAACATGAACCGTCTCACTTCGGCTGGGTCTGGGTGGGTCCCCTCCTCTAAGACTAGTCCAGTGGTGGGCAAACTCATTAGTCGACAGAGCCAAATATCAACAGGACGACGACTGAAATTTCTTTGGAGAGCCACATTTTTTAAATTTAAACTTCTTCTACCACCACTTCTTCAAAATAGATTCGCCCAGGCCGTGGTATTTTGTGGAAGAGCCACACTCAAGGGGCCAAAGAACTGCATGTGGCTCGTGAGCCGCGGTTTGCCAACCATGGGTCTAGTCTGATGAGTCCCCACCTTGCCGGGCCATTGAGAGCAGCCAGCGAGGTGGGGACTCCCTGATGGGCCAGCACCTAGGTGGCTTCATGGGCACCACCCTAGCCTTCTAGGACTGTAGCTCCTTCTTGCTGCTCCGAACCTTCCAGTCCAGACACTAAAGTGTTTTCTTTGGTGGCTAAGGAGCTCTCCTGGTCCCAGTCCATGCCGGGGAGCTGCAGACCACTCACAGAAGCGCTGGTTTCCGGAGAACTGTATGACCTGGCTCCCCCACTCCCGGTCCCGGGGCCATGGCAGAGGCTCCCGTGAGGGGCGGTCTCAGGGGGCAGGTCCTGAAGCAGGAGGAGTCGGTGCCAGCCACATCCATCTGCTTCCTGACAGCCTCAGTGTCGCTCCAATGGAGCAGAGGGCTTCTTCCAGGGCCCAGGCACCCAGGCCTGTCAGTTCTCCTCCGACACCCGCTGGACGTGGCACCCGCGTCTGCACAAATACTTGGGTGGTGGTAACATGCCTAGAGCCCTCTGTGCAAGTAACAACTCCTGTGTTGTTCTGCCATCCTGGTCACAGCTGCCCCGCTCGGCAGACCGGAAGTTCCTGGGGTCTTGAGTCTCCTTGGAGCCCAGAACCTAGCAGAGGCCCAGGCAGAAGGAACACTCCGCTATAGTGGAGTTCACTCCCGTCCCGGCTCAGACTCTGTGTACTCTCACTTAAATTATTAAACATACGCATGTTCGAGTGAGGAGGAGAGACTCAAAATGTTTTATTTCCCACGGAGAAATCACTTGCCCAAAGAATCGAAGAGAAATAAGTATGAGCAAAACTATGCTCTGAGCTATGAAAAATGCAAGTGTTTATCAATAAATACATCTACATAACAGCTCCATGTCCCTCAAGGTCCCCGCTGCCTCTGACCGGGAGTTCCCTTGCAGTGGGTTACCCTGAAGAGGACGCGGCTGCCTTGGTAAGCCTCGAAAAAGCCAGAGAGACAGGAAGGGCGAAAATATGAGGCCAACAATTCAAAACCTTTTCATCTTTTGGTTTTTTTTTATTTTAAATTACAAAGGATGTTGCATACACAGATGAGTCTGTATCTGACTAGAAGTGCCAAGGGGTTGGAAGAGAACAAAGGCAACATTGGAATCGCCTTTTCTTGTGGAAAGAAAAACTGCACAACTATTAACCAACATTTAATAGAATAAATGTTAAACAGCTCATGCGTCAACAAGATAAAATTCTTTCTAGACAAAAGACAAGACTGAATCCAATAAAGTTTCATAGCTCCAGTTGTGGGGAAGGGGACAGGGGAACAAAACAACGGAATATGACAGCATTACAAACAGGATCCTGTGTGGCTATGCGAGAGAGGCGGCCACATTGCATGAACAAATGCTTTTTTGCCCTTCCGCTCCTCTGCGACTTCTTGTGCGCGGTCAGCCCTCGCATCACCTAACCACCAGCGCCAAGTTACAGGGTCAGACGGTGAAGAGGGCAGCAGTGGAATACAGTGTCATAAAAATGTGCTGGGAAGGCAGATACAGTACACACATACACATTTCTGTTATTTGGTTCAGGGGGGAGGGGAGGAAGGGCGAAGAGCAAGACACAGTCGTCAGTCCCGTCCTGTCCACCTGGAATTGAATGAGCCACATCACTGTGTTCACATCGGTATGAGAGAGGCAAACCTCGTTCACCTAGAACTTGGCACACGGAAATACCAGACTCAGGGTCTGCACTGGTCACCGACACGTCTCCGGAACACTATTGGAAAGTAGTTTTAAGCTTCTAGTCCCCCTCACGACTACCCCCACATCTTTCTTTTCTAAACGGAAATGGCAGTTTGGCAGAATTCTGTTCCTAGGTGCAGTGTCTACGATGCCAGTCCGTTCACTAGGCGTGAGGGTTCAAGGTTATGCTTCCACACAGCCCCACCTGCCCCTGGAGGCGGTCCACGTTCAGTAGTACATTTCATCATCTTTCCCCACATGCCGATTCCTTAACGTGAGACAACCATCCCTACAGCTGACGGCCCAATGTGTTTGAAAGAGTAAAAAAAAATGGAGTCATCTTCTCATAATGCCCTTATTAAGATTACAAAGATTACAAAAGAACCCACAAGTATTACGGCACTGTGTGAGACATATTTGTCATGATTCGAGGGAAGAACAAGACTGGAGTTTTGTGCAAAGTTGTGGAAATGGCCTCAGTTCCATGGGAAATGGTATTCCACAATAGACTTCACTAGAAGGATAACTGAAACCTTTTACTTTAACACTGAAAGCTTAATT